AACGTAAAGATAAATAAAAAAATTTATTTTCGATTTTTTTGCGATTACTATAACTTGCCCCACGAGAAGTTAAATATAAAGTTTTAACTGAATTTGTTTAAATAGCGAAAAAATCTATATTATAAATTTGTAATTTGAATACATATATAATTTCTCGAATTCTCTACTATTTCAACAAGATGATGAATTACATTATTCCTGTTTATACAGAAATGCTAATGTTTATTAGATTTATTGATTCATCATTGTGCATGTACTTCGTCTGACGATTTGATTCATTTTTGTATCTATAGTGGGTCATTTAAAGTGGCAGCATTTGTCCCTGAAACAAATATATGAAAAAAACATTATTAATTATTAACTTCTCGCAGGGTAAGTTATAGTAATCGTTCAAAAAACCAAAAAATACAAATTTTTGCACTTCTTTACGTTTTAAAGGTTTCTCAATATTTTGGCATACCTTACAAAAATTGATGTTTGTGTGGATAAAATTTTTCGTCCGCGTTTTTCCGAGAGCACGGATCAACCGATTTGAATTATTCAAAAAACATTCGATTCCTATTAATAAGGAGATGAGCTGACTAGGTTTTGACAAAGTTTGGTTTGTCATTTTAAAGCAAATTCAGTGCAAAGAGTGCAGAAAATGGAAATTAAGTTTCTGAGAGAACCGAGCATCCGATTTATTTGATTCAGAAAACATTTCACTCGTGTTTTAGAAATTTGATTTGTCTTAAGACACGATGCCAAGCACCACTAGTTTTCATTTTGATTAAAATTTGTTTTGCTTCAAGGAGATACGTTACAGCTATTTTTGACAATGATATCGTGTAAATGACCACCTTCAGTAAAATTGGGTTGTCGTATGCTTCCTCTTCAAATGGATCATCCTGTACTATTGAATTTAAACAATTTATTGATTATCTAATTTCATGATATGAAAATGACCAGTGATTTTGTTTCTGTCTCCTCCAAGCTTGCTTGATTCCCCACAATATAATAATTCGAGCAATGAGGTTTAAATATTGATTTTCATTCAAGATTTTGTCATGTCAGTGCTTCGTTTCAGTCTTAAACAATTTTTAATTTTTGCCCGTAAGGTTTATAATCAAATTGTGTTAACCAGTCGTTACTTACAACTATGGTCTCCTTCACGTTTTTATGATCGTTGATCGCCTTTTACATGATAAATTCTCAAATGAAATGAATAACGAAATTAAAATCGTAGAACTTTTATTAATAATAACTATATCCATTATATTTCAATGGCAAGTGCCTGAGTACTGTAAGCTTTTGGCGTGGTTACAGACGGCTGCACTGGAGTCAGAGAGCAGAGAGCAGCTGCATAGTGTCTCTCCAGCAGTCGGCCGCGAATGCGAGGCCGCATTCCCGTTCACGAAACGCGGAAACCATCAGACGGAGAATAACAATCATTCCCCCCAACGCGCAAGCCGAGCAGCCACACGGATTATCGAAATTAAATCGAATTTAAGACGACACGTGCAATGGAGAACTTGCTCAATTTTTTATAGAAGATCTTCCTACTTCAGTAGATATTTGCCTCGCTTAGGAATAACGTAGTTTGGTACTCGTAATCTAGCAATTCTGCAAATCTAATTTAAACTGAAGACCTAATTTACAGCAGTTATTTGCCAAACTCATTTCATGGTTAACTAGCTGTAAGTGGAATTCTGTCTTAAGGCAATTAAGGCATCGTGCCTTAAGGCAAATTGCTGGAACTTCCCGTACCGCAATTCAAAATTCGAGTAATTAAAAATAATCAATAAAAGTTGATCAATGATTTGAAACATTTAATAAAATTTTGAACCATATTAAATCATTCTATCTTAAATCATTTATTTTAAAATATTTTGGAAATTCTGAACTTTTTTTCAAAGCAATCGTACTGCTTTAACTGCATAAAGACGAAATATCGAAACGCGTAAGCGCCGCATCGCCGTCTAACGCGTAAACATTGGTACGGAACCCATAAGAATGTAAACAAAATTTATACTTATTGTTAAAATTTCTATAAAATATATGATAATTTAATGTACATATGTCTAAGTCATTTTTGACCGCCAAATGGCATTTTTTTTACTTTTTTTGTTAGATCTCCGAAACCGCTAGCCCTGCTTTTATGAAATGAAATATGAAATATGATCAATTCTTTATCTTGTCAATACAAGTAAAATGACACTTTTGACACTTTTTGCCCCATATCTTCGGAACGGCTAGACCTGCCTTCACCAAAAACTAATCAGCACGTCTCCTTATCAATACGAATCAAATGTTTTTGAATTATTCAAATCGCTTCATCCGTGTTCCCGAAATCGTCGACGAAAATTTGTATCCGCACACACACACATACACGCACATACACACACACACACATATACACACACACATACGAGGTGTGTTCAAAAAGTACCCGGAATTACTAATAATTAAATTTCGCGGGTCTGGAGTGTCTGATTGTCAAAATTTTTTATTGTGTTGGTATACATGCCCCTAAAGTATGATGAAATTTTCAGCTATATTCACTGTTTACTTTGTCTGTGGTAGTCGCTAAGGTTCGACGTGTTTTTCTGAGCTCGGCGATTTTTACAATGGAAGAATTGAAAAGTCAAAGAATTTGTATTAAATTTTGCGTAAAAAATGAAATAAAGTGTTGCAAAGTGCAAAAATTCACCAGATATGGCTCCGTGTGACTTTTTCCTATTCCCAAAGTTGAAGAGACCCATGAAAGGACGGCGGTTTTCCTCGATTGAAGAAAATCGCTGGGAGTGCTCAAGGACATATCAAAAAGTGAATATCAAGGGTGCTTCGAAAATTGGAAAAAACGCTGGCATAAGTGTATTATATCTGGGGGGGACTACTTTGAAGGGGACCACATTAATGTAGACGAATAAATAAATATTTTTTTGAAAAAACGAAAATTCCGGGTACTTTTTGAACAGACCTCGTACATCCATTTTTTTCTAAGGTATGCCAAAATGTTCAGAAACCTCTGAAACATAAAGATATATAGAAATTTTTATTTTCGATTTTTTTGCGATTACTATAACTTGCCCTACGGGAAGTTAATAAAATGTCAATAAATTAAAATAGACTCCACGATTAATTTTTAGGTTTTAGATTATATTGGAACACAATTTCATATAACGTGCTATATCAAAAATATAAATTTTACCTTTGTTAATTATATTGTACTTTTGTTATTGTTCTGGTCAAAGTGCGTAAAAACCTTGCATCATCTACTCTAGAGATAATTTATCTCTAGATCTAGATAATTTGTTTTTTATGTAATTCTTCTAGTATTTTTTAATTGAGCGATATCAGAAACACTGGACTGCATGCGATCTCAGTTATTATCGAAGAGCACGTGTTCAGTATGAGCTGCTGGTATATTAGTAAATACAAACAAAAATGCTTTGGATGCTTGTATCGTTGTTGAGGAAAGATCTTCGCGCTGGCCAGGTGTTCAAAATGTACAGAAACCTATTTTAATTTTATTTAGTCATAATTATAAAACTTTACAATCTATGTGGATCTTTTCAAATATATAGAGTAATCGATCATATCATTAAGTGATTGGTTTATATAGTATCTAATTACTAAGGTAACTCCAACGTAGATATATATTGTTCGAGTTTGCATTTTGACTTACTTTACTTTTACTTTGTTTGTGTGTGACGTAACTGACTAACGTGCGGCCTAGTGTGGACGGGGTCGCGAGTTCAAACCCTTGCACTGACAACCTGAATCGGGCAGCAGCGATGTCCATTTTCACTTGAAAATATAGATCAAACATATGTTTTCAATTGAAAATGAGCCGATTTGGGGCACTGCGGTGTGAAATGGCAATGGGAAATTTCTATCACACTATTTTTCCCTTAATCGAGTTGGAATTTAACTCAGCTCACGGATTGATCTACTCTAGTTCAATACCATCTATATTATTATTATTGTGAATGGTTTTTCAGCCACAAGTCGAAAAAATAAAAACAGAACGTAAATATAAATCTTCTTTAATACGTTTCGAGCTATTCTGCTAGCTCATCATTCAGCAAACCAGTTTAATTTTTTTTTTTTTAGAACAAAATATTTATGTTTTAATTGCCAAATGTTGTATAAAATAATTTTAAACTGGTTTGCTGAATGATGAGCTAGCAAAATAGCTCGAAACGTATTAAAAAAGATTTATATTTACGTTCTGTTTTTATTTTTTCGACTTGTGGCTGAAAAACCATTCACATTATGTTTCAAAGTCAAAATAAACAATATCAATATATATATATATATATATATATATATATATATATAGATTTAGCAGCCCATTCGTCGAAATGAAAATAAATTAGAAAAAAATAATTTTCTTTCTTATACGTTTCGACACTTGATGTGTGTCGAATATAAAAATTAAATATAAAATATATTTTTAAACGAAAATTTAGCACAAAAATATTGAAAAAAGAATTTTATTATTGAATTTCATCATAGAGCATAAAATTATGCTACCGTATATATAGATGACATTGGTGAGTAGCACTCAAGTAATTAATACACAAACACAAAATATGTAACAAAAACATGTAAGAGAAATTACTTAAGAAAGAAGCACATCATTGAAAAATAAAAATAAATTATACTTCAAAAAATAAATAAACTAACATAATAAATTAAACCATCATGTCTGAAAGGTTTATCTTTTCAGGCATGATGGTACGAATCAATTCATATTTCATCATTTGAGGTAAGATGGTCAAATTTATTATTTTCATTTATTTAATTAAATAAAAACGAACTGATGTTATATTGCATTTTATTGTTGTTAAGCTCAATTATTGTCAACATAAATGCATACATTAATTTTAAGTCCGAGCTACTTATTTTGTGTAATTTTTTGTATTATTTAATTTGTAATGTTTCAGAAATATAAATTGCCCAAGTTTAAATTTACGAAAAGGTTCCTACACCCTGATTTAAATATCGGTTTACACATGGTTGAAGAAAGAAGCACACGGATGATCGATCAGCTCAGAGAAGCCGCCGAGGATCATCGAATGATCACGTTCGCACGCACTCGCGGCACAGGCGGCTGCACGGGAAAAAGACACGATGAATTCGGCAACATCCACCTTTTGGATCATACGGTAACAGATAAACTTACCTGTTTCGATTAGATTTCGATTAATCGAAAATTTGGCTATTTTGAGGTACTAAATTCAAATAATTTTGCGATCTGAAATCACATCAATATAGTAATACTTTATTTTTAATTATTATTAACTAACGTAAGAAAGAAACAGAAAGAAAGAGAAGAAAAGAAAGAGAAAGAGAAAGAAAGAAAGAAAAAAAAGAAAGAAAGAGTAAGCAAGCAAGTGAAAGAAGAATTTCGATTAATCGAAAATTCGGCTATTTTGAGGTACTAAATTCAAATAATTTTGCGATCTGAAATCACTTCAATATACGTTTAGTAATACTTTATTTTTAATTATTATTAATTATCGTAAAAAAGAAAAAGAAAGAAAGAGTAAGAAAGAAAGAGAAGGAAAGAAGAGAAAGTAAGCAAGCAAGCGAAAGAAAGATAGATAAAAAGAAAGTGAAAGCAAGAAAGAGAAAGAAAGAAAGAGAAAGAAGGAAATAGAAAGAAAGAAAGGCAAAGAAAGAATCTTCAATGCTTTATATTGCTGGTTTGATAAGGTTTGAGAAAATTACAAAAAAAACATACACTAAACTAAATTAATTCCTAACAAATGCTATCAGACACTATGATTTTTTGTTGATTTCTAAGAAGTTTGTTTTATAGTCAATATAAAAATGAAATTGTTTAAATAATATTGCAATTGAGATTATATATAGGCATTTTATCTATGCACTTTTATTACTTTTTCATTTTTACCATTTACATATTTGAAATTCCGATTGGAAGCTCGATTAGAGCTTTTAACTATTTTGTCTAATTGTGATTTTATGTTACTATATAGTTGCTATTATTTCATTTATTAAATTCCCGTAGAGTAAGTTATAGTAATCGCAAAAAATCGAAATGAATATCTTTACGTTTTAAAAGTTTCTGAACAAAATGTTTATACTTAAAAAAATGTATGTACGTATGTATGAATGTATGTGTGTGTATGTATGTACGGATACAATTGATATGAAGACATGCGGACAATACATATGGAGATTAGTTTTCGGTCAAGGCAGGCCCAGCCGTTTCGTAGAACCGTCCGATTTAAATTATTCAAAAAACATTTAATTGTATTGAAGGAAGAAACTCATGAAATTTTTTGAACGACAGGTCTAGCGGTTTTGGAGATCCAATGAAAAAAGTTATTTGGCGGTCAAAAATGATCATTAGGCATATGCGCATCAAATTATCACATATTTATAGAGATTTTCGTAATTAGTACCTGTTTCGATTTTTTGCTATTTTGTCTTTACGCATCGCTACTGCTTTGAAAGAAAAATTCAAAATTTTCAAATAATTTCAAAATATGAAATAAAATTGAAATTTTTTAAATAGTTTAATTTTTTTTTAATTTCAAAATTCTTAAAAATCTAATTAAACGAAGTTGTCAAAAAGTTTTAAATTTTGATACGGGATGTTTCCCCAATTTGCCTTAAGGCACGATACCATGCACCACTAGTTATTTTAACTTCCGTGGGGCAAGTTATAGTAATCGTAAAAATATCGAAAATGAAAATTTTTATATATCTTTACGTTTCAAAACCTTCTGAACATTTTGGCATACCTTAGAAAAAATGGATGTATGGGTGTGTGTGTGTGTGCGTGTATGTATGTAATTCAAAAAACATTCGATTCGTATTGATAAGGAGACGTGCTGATTAGTTTTTGGCGGAGGCAGGTCTAGCCGTTCCGAAGATACGGGGCAAAAAGTGCCAAAAACGGTAACTCAGTTTTTAAGAGAACGGAGCGTCCGATTTTAATAATTCAAAAAACGTTTTACTTGTATTAACAAGGTGAACAACTGATCAAATTTTCATGAAGGCAGGTCTATCGGTTTCGGAGATCTAGTGAAAAAAGTAAAAAAAATGCCATCTGGCGGTCAAAAGTGATCATTAGACATTTGCACATCAAATTATCAGATATTTTATAGAGATTTTAACAATAAGTATAAGTTTTGTTTACATTCCTATTGATTACGTACCAATGTTACATATCGTCAAAAAGCTTACGCGCTTTGACATATCGTCTCTATGCAGTTAAAGCAGTACGATTGCTTTGAAAAAAAGTTCAGAATTTCCAAAATATGTCAAAATAAAGAAATTCAAAAGAAAGTCAAATAAAAGAAAGTAATTTTTTGTTAAATTCATAGTTTCTCAAGAATCTTATTTTTTCGAAGTCATTTTTTTTTCAAAAATGTTAATCGTTTTTAAAAAAATAATAATGTCTGGTACGGGAAGTTCCAGCAATTTGCCTTAAGGCACGATGCCATGTGCCCCACTAGTTATATTATTAAATTACAAATGTTTGCAATTTAAGTTGACAATTATTACATTAGTTATTCGTTTTGTAATGAATCGAATCATGACTGTGCAATTTTGTATCTGTAACTATACGATTTCAAGCAAATACAAAGATCGATTTTTTAAGGGATAATCGACGTCCTCAGGAGAGAATAAGTGCAGTGGAGTTTGCAGTGCGAGCAACAAGCGCCGCGGACCGACTGGCTGCCGAGCTGCCCGTCCGACTACCTCACGCAAAGCGACACCTGTCCAAACAGTTCGACGGCCTCCGGGACAGTGCAGTGTCAGATGCCATTTGGAAAGGTAAGGGCTTGCTTATGCATTATACTGAATGACTTCTTTTTAATAACATGCAGTTTAACGTAGATCGTGAAAAAATAATATTTTGTTGTTATTGATACATTTGAGGATAAATAATACTTCTGACGTATTTAACTTTTTCGGAGAAGTAGGATGTTGTTTTTATAGTATAATTGTAAAGCAATCTTTGGGGCCAATTTTTGGATGAAATATGTTTATTATGGAAATGCTATGTAATGAGTGTATATTCGTCTGAGTTGGTGGTAGTTAATTGTTAAAAGGCTATGCAGTTGGGTTGCGATCGTAACATAGCATAACCATAACATAACTATTTTATCCAAGAATTGACCCTTTTTATTTAATTATGATATTATTCATTCGTCGTTGTACAAATTATTGCAAAATATATGGCATTTTATGTCATAACATCAATCAAACAGAAGTCCTTAGCGCCCGCATGCAACTTTTTTCTAGCGCCCCCCCCCCCTTCAAATTTTTACTGTTTTAACAGTTTGTCATGTAAATTATATAAATATTTACAAATTTATTAAAAATTTATTTTTAATTATTCTGGATTTAGTACATAAAAAATTAAATATAATCTAAAAGCCTATAAAATACATTGATTTTAAATTTATTTAAAAAATCGAGGAAATTCGCGGGTTGATTATAATCAAATATTTTTCAATTTTCAATTATTTTTAACGTATGTGTTATATTAATGAAACATTTTACATTATGCAATTTATTCTATTGAGCAACTCATGCCAAGAGAGCTAAAAAAACTAGCTTTTCAATTTCAATCTAAATACTCATATTTCATTGTGATTTTTTCAAATTTTAATTTAATTTAATTTTTCACTGTTTACAATATCCAAAATTGCGTCGTAAACTTCTCCTTATTGATATCCTAAGAGCCGAATTGTATTTATCCTTGCTTTCGCGTCATATTCAGAGTATCAGGTTTTAAAGTTAAATTTTCAACGTATTTTAGAAGTATTGTCCAAAAATCAGTAAAAAGTGACTAGAAATTACACATTTCTTGAACTTTATTGGAAAAAACTAATTATATGTGATATGTAATATTTTTGCATAGTTAATTATTCTTAAATTTAGAGTATGGACACCACTAGGTATAACAAAAATCTTAAGATTTTCGTTCCAAAGTAAATTTTGCTTCCATTTTTCATATTTGTTCCATATCCATAACCCTAACCACGCATGTCTTCAACATTCAAAGTTCATCAGATGCAAAACATTTGCAACAAAAACCATTTTTCATTTTCCCGATTATATTTTGTTTAAACTAAATTAGCTTGCAATTTTTCGTCAATAATGCCCAATATTTAATTTAATCTCTCGCAGGTTTGCGCTTATGGAATTGAACACTAGATAATTTACTTTTCAAGTTCACGGCAACTTCAAATAAAAATTGAATAAGTAGATTATGCAATAAACAAAGCAGTCATTTACTAATTTGCAGAGTTATTAATCGGTTAATTGTTTCTACTGATCTTGCATTGCAAAATGTATATGCATTTTGTGTTTCCGTATCCCTAGTTAAGTTAGATTGTTTATTATATTTTATCAAGTATTCTAGATTTTATATAAGCAATAAAAATATAAATAATATATTGTAAATTTAATTTTCAAAACTTGTTTTGGCGCCCCCTAAGGCGTGCGCCCGCATTTTTTGCATGCATCGCATGCAAGGCAGGACCGGCCCTGTATATATATATATATATATATATATATATATATATATATATATAATTATATATGAATTTTATTGCTTTATTTATTCATTGGAATTCAAAAATAAGTAAAAATAAGATTTTTTCAACAACGATATTTGAAAGTAGAGGGACAAAGATGTAAGATAAGTTAAATAAATAGTTATACCAAATCTGCTGATGAATATTGTACAAAATGTAGCTATCAAATTTATATTTTGCATCGGTTGAGTAATGAAGCTATAGTTTTATAAAATCCCTTTAATATTAAAAAAAGACATTGGATGTCTTTGCTATCTGGCTGTCCATTTTATACTGCTTTTGAGGTAGAAAGGATCAAATGACAAATTTTTGGATGAGAGCAAAATACACATTTCTACAATGATGAATTAGCCGGGAGTTTTACTGAACATAGTCAGATAGTTGTTTATTTGTTGCAATAAATTTGGTTTGGTTTTCACAATATAATTGTTCAAAGTCAAATTGATCCTTTGTGCCCCGCCCTACCCTATTTGATATGTTTACTTTCTAAATAATATTATTCATTGTGCAGTGGCCGGCCATTTAGTTTTGTAGATAATAATGTTTGGTTTGTATCATTTTGACCGGCAATTGGCGACTAAATCCCATTGATGACATGTGCTCGTCTCAACATTCATTGACATGCATTGGAGGATGTTGAAACTGCCGCAGACGTAATCGCGCTTGAGCAGATCCAATGATATGTCGAGAGCCTTTACGAGGATCTAACAATGAGCGAAATTGTTTACGCTCGGTTTTCCTCAAAAATAATAATAAAAGAATGTAATCATTGAATATAGAAGATTTACCAAATACCACCGTATAATGCGAAGGGTTTTTTATGCGGGTTTCAACAACTTTGGTTTTGCGGTATTTCAGTGTGTAAATAATTGCGGCTACAAATCTGCAGCAATATTTAATAAAATAACAATATTTAAAAAAAAAACTTAATAATCTTTCGCGCAAAACCAAATACAGAACATTCACATTTTTGGCTCTGGTTGATTAGATTCGGCTCGCGGAATGTGGTTTTATTTCATTTGTCATAAGACGCATTGTTCAAATCGATTTTTGATATTTAAATTAATTTTAATAATTCAACATTATAAAATGAAACAAAACACAGATGTAAGACATTGTGGGACCGATTCTGCCGCATAACAAAAAAATGTTGTGGCAAGGCCATGTTACGCTCCAACTTCCATACATTATGCTACTGAATCAAATTGAACACTGTCAAAATGTCATGTATTTCTGTGCATTCAGGGGTTTCACCCATAAACTGCAATGTCACTCGTATGTTATGAAACTGGGTCAGAAAGACCCTGCTCGTTTTTTGACATTTTTCACCTGACAACCTGAGAAATACACCTGATTGCACATCAACTACATGGTTTTTGTCAATATTTAATATGGAAAGTTCTTCATAACATGGCCTTGCCATAACATTTTTCTGTTATGCGGCAGAATCGGTCCCTGTATATTTATTCATACTTCACACTAAATACTTCAATACAGCAAATACTGTGAATAAATATTTTCAGCATATATATATATATATATATATATATATATATTTATATGCGTGTGTGTTATTTGAAACTAGTGTTGAAATTGACTATAATGCAGTTTCTATAAAATAAATAAATTCCATAAAATGTAAATGTCGCACCGCATGAAATTAACCAAAGAGTATATAAATATCATGATGGTATATTATGTAATGTAATGTTTGCTAATTCGTTATTTATATTTCATACTAAACTAAATGAATAAAAAGATATGTACTTTTTTATATTTGACCAGCGAAAAGAACTACGTGTCCTATAAGCTGTTATTCTGACGTATATCTTAATCTAGATAAATTTTTTAAAGAGGACAACCCAGTTGTAAACTACTCTTGTATTAAAAATATTCTAAACGTAAAAATATTAAACAAATGTTTTCAGTTTGTGGTTCATTTTTGTATAACTGGTATAAGAATTATTTTTTAATCTTTTATATCTTATATCTAGAATTAATTATGAAAAAGCATGAACAGGTAAAAATTCTATATAATAATAAATTTAAATAATTTTAAAATAAATCTGTGTAATAATTAGGCCGTCCCTGCGCTAATGCAGTCGTCTCTTCGACTCGTAATTTTTTGCTCCTTGCGCGGCGCGGTGTGTACGGAACGCAAATGCGCAATTACGATCTTTGTTTTTGAACCGAGAATTATACCTCATACCTTATTGGGGCCCACATGCATCGAGACCAATCTTTTAAGGTTATCTCATGACTTCGTAGAGCGTAATCAAACATGGCATTAGGAGATGTTTGTAAATACGTATTTATTAATATCAGATTGTAAGCGCAATTGCAATGAGGATAAAGAGAGAGCTTAGAAGTACAACTATGTTAAAAAAAATGTTTTATGATTGGCGTTCGAATTTTAGCCATGTGGCCCTATAAGGGAGACTGAGTACGGTTGTGCCACTTTTTCTTGATCAGCAATATTTCTGTTAATTTACCAGTTAGCCGAGAGAAACATAAATTAAATGGTAATTTGAACATTTGTTCATGTGGAAATACTAAAATAATGTCTTTAAATACGATGGATATGTCATACAAGAAAAGGGTGAATATTACAAACGTCCACACCCCCAGGGACGGTTGTGACAGGCATATAAATGAACTACAATAGGCATAAACACCAAATTGGTTTATAACGACTTTAATTGTCAGAAGTATGTACCACAACACAACATAACCATTTCATATAAGCTAATGAATATAATCTAGTAATTAACACTACCCTGAAAAAGTTTGGACTCACTTAGGAAAATCGTTTTTTTTTGTCACTTTATTTATCGTTCTCCTCCGACAGTTTAATATACGTATTGATATAGAAAACATTTTAAGAATGATTTTTGAGCGTTTCCTTTAAATTCTTATTTATTTATTGCACAGAAATATGTTAATTTTCGAAATATTGTAAAATGTACAATGTTACAAATTATCACTTCGAATTACATTAACTATTTTTTTTAACTCAAATTAAATTTTACTCAATGCATCATCATTTAAAAATTTGTGGGGCCATCATCAAACCGAAAGACCAACATATTGACAAAAAACGGCTGGATTGATTTTTTTCGTTTTTTACACAAAAATTTAAAAATATCACATGTAAATGTTTTTAACTCGTAAATTGAATGTAAGTCTCAACGAAATTATTATGAAGAATAAAGTGATGAATAAAAAAGA